CAGTACAATTCTACATCCTATCTATATAGTCTACAATTGACACATCAGTACAATTCTACGTCATATCTTTATAGTCTACACCTGACACATTAGTACAATTCTACGTCCTATCTATATAGTCTACAAGTGAAAATCACTACAATTATTCTACGTCCTATCTATAAAGTCTACAATTGACACATCAGTACAATTCTACGTCATGTCTTTATAGTCTACACCTGACACATTAGTACAATTCTACATCCTATCTATATAGTCTACAATTGACACATCAGTACAATTCTACGTCCTATCTTTATAGTCTACAACTGACACATCAGTACAATTCTACGTCCTATCTATAAAGTCTACAACTGACACATCAGTACAATTCTACGTCCAATCTATATAGTCTACAACTGACACATCAGTTCAATTCTACGTCCTATCTATATAGTCTACAACTGACACATCAGTACAATTCTACAACCTATCTATATAGTCTACAACTGACTCATTAGTACAATTCTACGTCCTATCTATATAGTCTACAAGTGAAAATCACTACAATTATTCTACGTCCTATCTATAAAGTCTACAATTGACACATCAGTACAATTCTACGTCCTATCTATATAGTCTACAACTGACACATCAGTACAATTCTACGTCCTATCTATATAGTCTACAAGTGAAAATCACTACAATTATTCTACGTCCTATCTATAAAGTCTACAATTGACACATGCCAATACATTTCTTGGTTCTATCTATTTTGTCTATAATTGTCAATTCCAGGCCAGTGTAATTTATACAACACATGATAAAATCCAGGATAGTCATTTGCTGTTTATATATGACTGTATGACTATATGAACAGCAAATGTGTGTTTTATATAATTGCTATATAACACGTTATGAGAGGTAACTTACCAAACTTTTTGAAAGCGGTGGTGTAGACTTGTGTGCGGGAGAGTTCCAGTAGTCCCTCGCCGAGACAGAACTGGGGGAGGACCAGTAAAACCTGCTTCAGGATGTCATTCACTTCCCCTAGGGCCTACAACAATAGATCACACATCACTTATCTACTCATGAGGCACAGTAAATCAATATCTTCATGTAAATACAAATGGTACTTTTCATCAGAGTTTGTTTAACTCTGGGAGTAGTTTTAAACTCTTTTTTTTCTCTCTCTTTATAGTGAACAAGCAAATTGGTGGAATTTATATCCCCCGCTTGCAGGACATATCGTAGGTTAACATTATTGAGGATAGGTTTAAACATGTGAGTATCGTGCTGTTGAGACATAAGGTTAAGCTATAAAATCGAAGAAAGAAAAAAAGCCTTATACAGAAGTTAGACTTTTTATTGAACACGTAGAAACGGCAGATAATGATGTTTTTCGTTATTCAAGGGGTCATAACTCCACCAAATATAGTCATCGAACTTGGTTGAGCCCTTAAGGCATTTAACCCTGTTACCAAGTTTCAAGAAAATTGGTTAACATTTGTTGCAGTTATTGCACAGAAACGAAGCATGACAGATAGATAGATAGATGGACAAACCCAAATTAATATCCCCCGTTTCGGTAAAAGCGGGGGATAAAAAGAACAATCTGTTATTGTATACCGGGAGACTTTCACCCAGTCAAATATTCGCCCTATGCTGATAAAGTCCTTCTTTTCCCAGTGTTAATTATGCCCTTAACGTTTAATTACTCCATTGTATGTTTTGTACTAATATTAACAGTCACAATACATGTGCCCTCACTGGAGAGTCCAGTATTCTTGTCAGAGAAAAGGATCGCTCATTCATAACCATTCCTTTTGTTTATAATATTTAAAGTGCCTAAAACTAATACATTCAGCTGGTTTCAGCAATGCAATGGTTCTGTTCCCAACCACGATGGAAGGGGAGGATACACGTACCGGATCATCGTCGGCCAAGTACTCCAGGATAAACGTAGCCAGTGTGGAGGTGGTGCCCAGGAAGATATTGACAGACTTGAGCGTTACCATGGCAGTGCTGGGCACCCGGAACAGGCGGGAAAGCGGGTACATTACAGGAATCATGGCCCAACTGTCAGAACGTGATGGAAACATTTAAAATGGCTACACATGGTGAATCTATGTCACATATAACAGAGTTAAGTTACTGTCAACATACAACAGGAACTAATGTTAAATATAACTCTATAACAACAGATTGATATCAACACATTTCTGTATAAAAAATTGTTGAAAAACAAAATAAACTACACTGTATATAATAATTGTCATGATGATGGTTGTGAAACTTTTCATACTGACACCCTTTGTCCAGAGAAGTTTTGGCATTATAAAAAGATTTGGCAATAAATTGAGGGTAAGGTATAAAAAAGAATAAAGAACCTTGTGATATATTGGTGGTAAGTGGGTTGGCAAATGGAACAAGGGACATAACACTGAGATTTTACTGTACACACAAAATGTAACATATACATCATCGTCACAAAAACAGAATGTATTGATTATTTGTCAGAGTTGTAGCTGTACTCACCCATACATCACCAGAAGCATTAAAAGGGACGGGAAGTTAGTTTTACCGACGTAAGCCTCGCGTTGAAATGCCACAAATATACATATACTCAGAGCGGCTGACACAAGGTAATTCAGCTGAAACACAAAAACAAGTCTACATTCATTGCTCCACCTTAAGTATATATGTAATTGTAATTCATGGATCGGGTTAAACAGCACACAACAGCTCCGGTCACTCATTGAAATACTGTAAACCGGGAAATTTCGCCCAGTCAAACTTTCACACTACGCTGGTAAAATCTGTTTTCGCTCAGTATTAATTCGCCCTTCACATTGGATAGCTAAGTTAATTATAGTATTAAATAATGTCTGCTGTAATGATAACTTGGCCCCATTACGGAGGGCAAAAAAGGCAGATGTTAACCTGTGGCGACAATTTCCGGGTATACAGTATGTTGTAAGGTCATTATTCAGGGTTCAATTGTTCTAAACCATAAACTCTATGCACAAAATGGCAATATACCAATAACTCTATATTGTTGGGACACAAGACCTTATTTCGTTTTGCAACCTTGCATTATCCTAAGAGGCATTTAAAAACAAACTGCCAACGAAGTGCCACACTGATGGACTGACTGATTGGGATAGTGCAAACCTTACTGGTTGGTTCACTTCGTCAGAAAGATCAAATCCTGGTTATAAAACCCTGAATAGATGACTAGATTTTTATTTTCCCCAGGCCGAGTTATCAGCAATAGACTTACCAAGTCCCAGGTGAAGTTGCCGAGCCAGTAGATTGAGGGGTGGATACCGCTGACGAACTGCAGATGTTTGGAGTCGGACACTCGCTCCTCAATCAGGATCATTACAAAGCTTGCTGGTATGAAGGACATTGCGAAGATTACACAGGTGGAAATGATAATATCTGTCTTACTTGTGAGTCTGCAAAGATATAGAAAATAACATCATTAGTACAAACATATATTAATAAGGGCAAGGTAGGCAATAAAACAACAAAAAGTAAAATTCCATTGGTTCCCAGTCACATTTTAAAGGATGCTTTGAATTTAGATATATGATCACACACAAGATGGTTAACATAGTTCTAATGCTTTTCCCAATGTTCACCACAGATAAAAAAAAAAAAAATAACTCTATATATAAAATTTGAATAAATGTGACAAGAAACAACTTTCTGCTATTTTTTCAAATATTAAAACTGGTTATATTTCGGGTTATCCTGAACAAGTTTTGATTTGCAGAATAGGTAGTTTCCTACAGAATGACTAGAAAAGGCACTTGAGTCTGCTTGATCCAAACAACAGTTTCTAATAGAATTAATCATGTAGATTAATTATGCAAGCATTGTCACACTGATTTCTTTTTGTTCCCAGATGAAAGGTGGGGTTTTGTTTTTCTCTTCTTTCTTTTTTTTCTTTGATATCAGGGTCTTGTTACCAAACTTCTACTGTGTATATGTATTATGATTTGATACTTACGATAAACCATCGTGTGACTGATTCACTGTGTATATGTATTATGAATTGATACTTACGATAAACCATCGTGTGACTGCTCCACTGTTTATATGTATTATGATTTGATACTTACGATAAACCATCGCGTGACTGCTTCATGGTTAGATTCATGGGGTGGTTTGTGGTGGTGATTCCGTACTTGTTGGGATCCTGGTTGGGCAGAAGCTTGCTTCTCAGGATCACATTGTTCATCACGTTCATGTAAATAACAACTGCCGGCCAGCCCTTGTTGTTATACCACACCTGTACAGGTACAAAACATAGCTTTACACAAATATACAATGGCAGGATATTTCCGCTTTATATTATTGCAATTATGTGAATCAATAATGTTTATATCGCGGAAATTTGATCCGTAGAATAATAGAAAAAGCGTAAAAATAAGCTGCGATAATAGGCATCAAATAACGCATCAGGAAATAGTGAGTATGTCTGAACATAGATTGTATCACACATCTAACAGTTTTGTCAAAGAGCCCCATCTCTGTGCTAAAACAACATCTAAAGTAGGTTCCTTTACATGTCTAGATTGTGAAATTAAAATCTGTGTTAACTGAATTTTCTGATTTTGGTCTAAAATCGCAAAAGTTTGGGCCTACGTAAATAACCCGCTATATGGTAGCTTTACACAGGTATGCCACCTCATACACTTCGAACCTATTGACCTATGTAATCTACGTATGTTGCATTTCTGGTGCCTTTCTTCCTACCTTAGATATGTTGTGCACTGCTACACGACCCATGATTGCATTGATACCCCCAAGGACATTCTGGAAGCTCTTGTTGGACTCGGTGTTGGCCTCTCTCAAGGTGTTGAAGATCTGTTTGATATGGTCAGTATTGAACTGGGCCCACTTGGACTTCAATCCAAACGACAGACCTCCATACCTACAATCCAGAAAACCTATCAACTGCATCTTCATACTCACATAAAAAATCCCTGTAAATGCTGATTGAAGTTAAATTTTAACAATGATTTCATTTTTTTTCTAATTTGTATCGATAACTGTATATGAAGAGTTCAATCATCAATGACAATTCAGCTTTTACAAGATGTCCTATTTATAAAAATGTGTTATAAATGCCACAAAAGAACTGCAATCAAACTGATGTCCTCAAAATGCTTAATGCCAATCAATGACACATGTGAGGTAAAGAATTACTGGCTATAAAGCAATCTCGTGTCAGAAAGTGTAAGCCAGCTTTGACACCATGAAGCAATTCAAAGACAGTAATTTATATACAGCCAACAATGTTGATATTGATCATTTATTATTGTCACTAAAGGAGAGGTACCTGCGTTTACGGTAACTTCTTGCAGTCTTCACTAGCCAGTCTGTGATGTTTCTGTCCGTCAAATCATACAAGAAGTCGGATGTTGGTAGTAGACGTCTCCTCGGTGCTGGACCTCCTGCACCTGTAACACAGGTAAACTATACCATACAATGAAATTACTACAATTATCTGACATAAACTCATAGAGCAGATCGGACTGATTCAGATCACATGTCACCCATACCAGCTGGAAAACTGCTGGGCTTATATAGAACAGATCAGTTAGGTCGTATTTGCGTATCATGGTTGAAACTGTTCAGGTGGCGCAGAAATATTCCTTGATAAATGAACATACTTGGACAGAACTGTAGGTGGAGCTAAAATAAAAGCACAGTTTCGGCGAATAAATAACAATATATCGAGAATAATATGTCCATCTTTCATGCGTCCACTAAATTCTATAATGTATCTTAAAATCTACATGTGAATTGACCTTATTCTATACAAAAATAACGCAAAGTAGCAATAGTCAGCATTTTAGTTTCAGTCAGGTACAACTGGACCCCTCAATCTACATGTGCCAAATCTTCCCTAGGTCAGCCTCGGTTCAGATCTGCGCCTGTTGTTTTCTTTCAGGTTCAACCGTTTCAACTAGTTAAACCGGCTACGCAAAAAGGGACAGATCAGACAGACAAGAGTGGTTGTCTCCCTTACCTCCTGGACATATATAGAACTGATCAGACAGACAAGAGTAGTTGTCTCCCTTACCTCCTGGACGTACATAGAACTGATCAGACAGACAAGAGTAGTTGTCTCCCTTACCTGATCAGACAGACAAGAGTAGTTGTGTCCCTTACCTCCTGGACGTACATAGAACTGATCAGACAGACAAGAGTAGTTGTCTCCCTTACCTGATCAGACAGACAAGAGTAGTTGTGTCCCTTACCTCCTGGACGTACATAGAACTGATCAGACAGACAAGAGTAGTTGTCTCCCTTACCTGATCAGACAGACAAGAGTAGTTGTGTCCCTTACCTCCTGGACGTACATAGAACTGATCAGACAGACAAGAGTAGTTGTCTCCCTTACCTGATCAGACAGACAAGAGTAGTTGTGTCCCTTACCTCCTGGACGTACATAGAACTGATCAGACAGACANGGTTGTCTCCCTTACCTGCTGGACGTACATAGAACTGATCAGACAGACAAGAGTAGTTGTCTCCCTTACCTGCTGGACATATCTGGACACCTGTAGAACAGGAACAGCTGATTTCATCAGCCTTGTCCCAGTTTTCTGCCTCTGTCCAAATAGATGTAGTGTTTGACTCCTCACAGGGAAAACCACTACAACAGTAAAATAAAATATCTTCAGATACCAATACCATGGTAGACATCCACTAAAGAATAAAAGAATAAAAAAATAATCTGAATGAAAATGGTTGTATTTGTATATTCTGCAGATACCTGCACCTCTTTACACTATCATGTGTGTGAACTATTTCATAATAAAGACGTTTGGACTACTTACTCTATACTGTAGACATCTGGACTTAGACATCGGTTCCCCACTCCATACTTGGATAACAATGTCTTCACAGACTGTTCAGTAAACATGGTTCCTTTAGCATCATTACTGCAACAGAAGTAAAATTTCACAATAAAAACTCACCTAAAACATCTTTGAACTAGAAAACGTCTGTAGGACATGAATGCTCCCTTAGCCCAGTGGTTTACTTATAAATATCAACAGTGACCTTGGCCTTGGCCTTGACCTTTGGACCCTGAAGTACAAACTCATCCAAAGTATTTTTTATACATGACTCTTGTATAAACTTTGATGAAAATCTGTTCAGAAATGAAGTCAATAGAGTCACGACAATGAATTGGGACGGGATGCAACGGAACATAGTGCCATGCTACGGGACAGGATGTGGACATGGGTAACACTAAATACCCCACCCCAATAATTTATCCTCTAGATATAGTTCCTTTGGTAACTGATACAATTTCAGCATTAACTGATGTAGACTGCACAATTGATATAATCATTCGTATCTTTCTCATTTAAAACCACAAAAGATACATCCAACAAATGATCTCCTTCATATTGTTGTTTCTAAATTAGCTAACATTAGATTCAGTTTCCTAAAACTTTAATCAAATACACTTTAGACTACAAGACAAAATTATTTTATTTTTCCAGAAAAATCTGCATGACAACAACAACGAAATCCATGCCTTTTGTGTTTCTGTTATCTGAAGTTTCTAATTGTTAGAAGACCCAGTCACAATTTGCCATAAGGAAAACAGAACCTGGATGAGCTTGAGACCAGACGTGACCATTTGACCATTATAACCATTTAACTGTGTTTGAAGCTAAAGTAAATTACAAACAAATTGACATGATGGTTGTCTTACCTGTAAAACATATTAAGGTGTGAGTTGCCCCTGGGAGGCAGCAGCTTCCAAGGATGGAGTTCCAAGGGTGGGGAGTCGGTGAGAGGGGGATCAATCTCGGCAAACACCATAGCCAGCAGGACAAACAAAGCCGGCATCAACAGCTAAATGACACAAATACAACATACATGTAAATCTAAAATCAGACTGGAACGTGATACATGTGCCTTGTGGATACCCCTGCTTTGATGATAGATCAGAGCTGAAAATAATGCTAATTTAGTTTTCAGATAGGATCTGGCAATCTTGCTCCTATGACTACTTTTGGAGAGGACATGTACAGTAGTATAGACATAACAGTATTCTTAGTACTGTATATCACTTGTTTTTGTTAAAACTTATTTCTTAATGCTTCAAGCACCTTTTCTACAAATGATTTAAATATGAACTTTATTAAAAAACAGTGATTACTATACTTTCCTTGTTCTGATTTGTTTGAAAAAATTTCAGTGAGATTTTTTCAATTTCCAAATGATTCTTCTTGCAAAATAAAATGTGAAAATGCATACAAGGTGTGGGTGTCTACAACCCAGTGTAAAAGTATACCTCAGCAACCAAATGCACCTGTACGAATTAAGCCCTAACCATTATCAACATGTAACACCCACCTCGCATATAAATCCCTTCTTGCTGCGTTTGAAATGGTGGAATCTCCTGATGAAGACGGCCAGGAATTGGTGCCACAGAAGACGCTTTCCCTCTAGTTTCACCTGCTCCTTGTGGTTAAAGCCGGCCTCTCTCTTGATCACAGTCATAGGCTCTGTAACAATATTTTCTACTATGACCCATTGTATCACACCCTCCAAACCCATCATACGAGTGATGGCATGTAACAACGAAAGAGACTCACAATTCACATACTAATATGTAACAGGTGAGGAAAAATGCACGGCAAGAGTCCGGGGTTGGAACCTGGGACCCTCCGAACTCTAGATGGACGCTCTGTTAATTGAGCTTCCTGGTCGCCGGACGATCGACCCAGTCCAGGTCCACTGGCACTTACAAATACATTATTATACAAGATTATTTATCGTATAAAAAAGGTAAGGTTTTGTGTAACTGCCGAAATTTTCCTCGATAAGCCCAGGGGGCAAACAAGTAATCTCCCACTCAAAGTAAGGGGTGGGCTTATTACAGGACAGTGAAATAGCATTGGTTGGTATTTCTACTGAACTGTATTTGGTATCTGGTGGACTTATTGCCGGTAAACACAGTGTAGCTCCTGTTATAACAGCAATACATGTACTTTCATTTTTATTTCTTATTCAAAGTGGCAAAATACATAACACAATACCTGATACCAAAACCTACATTACAGATCATCTACAATATTTCAGAGAATCTCTCTCAATCTTCACACTTTGTCTTACCCAAATATATCACTCCAATACACACACACCAATACACACACCAATACTTACCTAGATATACCTCCCCCAACATACATACATATATACACACACATAGCTATCAATCCTCCATCATTAGGAGGGAGACTCCCTCTTTTTGACCAAAATTTACCAATCTCCCTCGAAAGCTCCCTCATTCTGTCAAAACTCACACAAACTCAAAATCTACTTTCTGTGGCTAAATGATCTCCTAGTTACTGCAGAGTGTGTGTTATGATCATAACAGGTCTGAATCAAATGAATGCTTTTTGGAGTTATTCTGATACTAAAAAGGGAAAGATAAATTGAGCAAAGCAGTTTCAGTTGCTTTCAGCACTTTCTCCCTCATCGGAAACGTTGAATGAGGGAGATCTCTCTCATTAGAGGTTTCAGAGGTTGACACCTACGCACACACCAATACTTACTTAGATATACCTGCCCCATACATACATACATACACAACACTACTGACCTAGATATACCTCCCCCATACATACATACACACACAACACTACTTACCTAGATATACCTGC